ACAGGGGTTTATGGATCAGAGGCTCAAGGTCAGTAGTCTAGAGGACTGGGATTGAGCAATCAGGGTTCACATTGTGGAAGTGAGGTGTCTGAATGCCTTTGGAAGACTAGGCACCAGGCATTGGCTGGAGTGAGAATATGGTTAGAGGCAGCTGTTGCAGAGTAGTGGGAGAACTGGAGGTTTCCATCCTTGCGTGGCCTGTGACTTTTCTGTGCCCTAAGAAAATAGCCTTTACTCTGTTTGTGCAATGTAAATGTATAGAACAGATTTTTAAAATTTATTTTTCTTTATAATGCAAGAATTTCAGGAGCAACAATCACAGGGTTTTGTTCTAATGCAAAAAGAGGTACATATTCCTTTTCCTCTGACTCTAATCTCAGGTCCAATTTCTTGCTCCAATGTAAAATCTATCCACTTGCATCCTGCAGTGATGTAACGGGCAGTGTGATGACTTGCAGCCACTCTGTCTTCTCAGCTAAGAGCAAGTTCAGGACTGTAATTTTTTCAGCTGCAGCACTTGGCTTTCCCTTAATAGCTGGTCAGGTAGAAAGCCGATAGTTCAGACATTGTAAGTCTAAGACATCAGTACATTAAAGACAGTATCCTGTGGCTTTCTATGGGGCTCTCTTTCTACCTAGAATGATTTTCTACTTGGCAGTTAGCCTGGCTAAGTCAGATAAAAGAGATACATTTCCTTGAGCTCTGTCTTGCTTAGTTTCTTCCTTAATCATGCTGGAAGATGAATTTAATACATGTAACTTGCCTTCCTTGGAGCTGTGGGCTGGAGGTTAGGTGAGGGCTTTCCTTTGGGTCCCTCCTGTTAGCCATTTGCAGAAGAGCGAGTAGCATTCATGAGCAATCATACTCATTAAGACCCAACCATCTCACCAGCCATGTCTTTGGGTGGTCCACCTCGTGTTGTCAGGCCAGCTGAGCTAAGAACTCCTGCCCCTCATCCATCCCAGCATGGCCCAGGGACCGAGGATTTGCAAAAGCTGCAGGCGAGCCTACCTGTACTGTTGTTTCTGCATTAACCGTCCCCAGCAGCTGCTGAGTATTGATGAAAATATCATGTCAAGAAATCACTTTTATATGTTTTCTTGCTATTCTTTACATGTATGGACCAAAATTATGTGCCCATGTTCATTTCCCCCGACCCCTCAAATAATAATAAACAAAAAGAACTGCACAGGGTTTATGCGGTTTGAGATGCAGTTTGTTTTAGTGCAGACACAGGTCTTGGTCTGCAGTTCTGCTGGCACTGGATGGTGCCTATAATAGCTGTTTCAATAGCTGAATTTGCTTTCTAGTTACTCATGGCACATAGACATAATCAGTAGAATATTCTGCTGCATTTTATTGACATGATACAGTTTTGCACTCTGTCCATTTCCTCACACAGCATCCGTTTAGGCATCCATTAACAAAGACACGTAGTGACAGGACGAAGGGCAGTGGTTTTAAGCTAGAGCAGGGTAGGTGTAGGTTAGATGTTAGGAAGAAGTTCTTTACTATGAGGGTGTTGAAATACTGGAACAGGTTGCCCAGAGAGGTGGCAGTCTCCATTCCTGCAGACATTCAAGGTCAGGCTTGATGGGGCTCTGAGCAACTTGATCTGCTCACTGCAGGGGGGTTGGACTTGATGACCTTTAAAGGTCCCTTCCAGCCCAACACATTCTATAGTTTTGTGACTCTATGATATATTCCACTCTGCTCATTCAGATAGTCTCTGCTTCACAGACTCTGGTTTATCTAAGCTTTACTAAACTGTGTTTTATTAAACTCATGTTTAAAACAACTTATCAAGAGCACTAAACACAGTCCATGGACTGTGGCTGTAAGTCAATTAGGATGGCTCCTGGTGGGTTTTAGAGGTCTCACTGCAGGGTTCTTCCTTGGTGCTTTGTCTCTTTTTTCTAGCAGACTGGTTACAGAATGGGGTCATCTGTGGATACTGTGCTTCTTGTGGAGCTAGCTTGGACCATCCCATGATAAAGGAAAAAACAACCACTTCTGGGACCGAGGACCCCAGTCTCATTGCGGTGGGGTTTTAACTGGATTTGTCATCTTCATCAAAGGAAACTTAATCCCTTCAGAAAAATGTAAAAGGTCCCATCAAATTCTGAAGATGGTTAAGATGCTCACCTACCTACACACATGTTGTGGGAAAGGGGCAAGAATGAAGAAGGGACTAATGCAGAGAGATAGAAGGAACACAGTGGGGTGGGGAGGCAGAGCGTCCCACAGCAACATTGGCTCTTGGGAGCTCTATGGGATTGTACAGCATCGTGGGAACCCACCAGCCACAGATGCAACAGAACCATGTGAATGTGCGGCAGCCACATATTAGGTCATCTCCTCTTCTAGATCCATGGTTTTCCCTGTGCACGGTGGTCTTTTGGAGGTTTTGTGTTAAAAAGCAGGGAAACAGCAAAACTGAGGCTTTGTTCTCCTGGAAGAATAACAAAGGAACCGGCCTTTCTAAAGAGCAGGCGCTCAGGCTGCTGTGTGAATTCCCCCTTTCTTGGCATTTGTACTTTGCTTTCCCTGAGCACAGCCAAGACTCTGTGCTCGTTTCTGTTGGGCAAAACCCTTCCAGTCCTCCATCTCGCAGGGAGACTCCATGCAGCTCTGGATGCAACCAGCTTATAGCAAAGCCCAAGCTTCACACACTTCCATGGGGGTAGTAATCAAAAATACCAAACCAGTGCTCCCTTCCCAGTGCCAAACGAAGGGCTTCATCAGGGTGAGGGTAATACCTTTTCCCTGCATTGTCTCCCTCTCTATATTTTCTTACAGAGCTCCTAGCTGGGCTCTGTGCTGTTACTCGGCATAGGCATTGATCCCAAACTGTGCTGCAGGCTTGAAGAAATGATACAGAAAATCTCATTTCAGGCATCGTTTTGCTTTCTTTCTCTGCTGTTGGCATCACGCCAGGCAGGACTTTAGTGGGAGGAAAGAAAATAGAGTAGACAGGTGGCAGATTTTGGAAGAATGAGGTCTTGGGCCAGGGGAGATGTGAGGATTAAAATCTTAATTTTTGTATTGGTTGGTCTTTTTTCACTTCATGGCCCTTTTAAATTGTTGCCATCATATAGTCTGTGTCATCCTGGAAAGGGCCCTGACTGCTTTCACTGCTGTGCTGGAGGCTGATTAGAGTCTATGGTCAATTTGGGGGTAAGTGCTGTGGAATAAAAAGACAAAACAAAACATAAAAAAATATCAAGACTGTCTGAAGAGAAGAAAGCAACTAAATCTGTCTTGCAAAGATAAGGTAAAGGAATACCAGATGGCAGATTTACACTTGTACGCTGGTGCCGAGTATCGCCTCAAAAAGGGTCAGCTGATGGAATTGGTTTTTTTATGTTACAATAATTAACAGACTGCATCCTGTAATGAAAAAATCCAGTAGGAGACATAGAGTTACAATTAAACATTCTCTTTATTGGGGCCTTGCTCTGAAATGGAACAAGTGATAAATGCTCAGAATGCCCATCAGTGTTGCTAATGAAAAGACCCAGAGTCACGTTTTACACTTTTATTTGGATTTAGATCAACACCACAGATAAAATACTTTGGCCAAACACAAGAACAGATTGCTATGCCGCTCTTTCCTGGCTGCAATAAGTACAGTAACATGAAAAAAAAAAAAAAAACAACAAAAGAAAAAGCTGGTTCTTCTGGAACACTGAACGTGAATCTTGAATTGGCACATACAGCTAATAAATACGTTGTCTGCACTTAGCACTTTGGAAGAGAATTGCACATGCAAGATGTAACCAAGCTACTGATCACGCTCGTCATTGTCCCAGTACTATTTTCACTTTTTAAGCTCTTTTTTTGCCTTTTTCCCAGCAAGAAAAAAAGATTATAATTTTCTGCTCTGCTCGGTATTTCAGTGATTAGTCTGCTATTTTTGACACATCCTATTGAAGTCCTTCCTGATAGAGTTGATATCTCCTCTACAGCTTGACTTGCTACACTATGCATCGCAGGTAGCAATGGAAGTCCACCGAGGTGAGGTGAGAGATCTGCCCAAAAGCTGACGAGGAGAGGTTAATACCAAGCAAAGATATAGTAGAGGGACTGGTGTGAATGCAGGTCTTATAATATCAAGAGCCAGTACTACTACCACACAAATAATGACATATCAATAATATATTGTACAAGCTTATACAGCAACACATGTTGATTTGCAACATTGTACAGTTTAAATCTAAAGTGCACAGCCTCAATCTGAGGTGACAAAACAGTACTATCAATATAATAAAGGCAACACAATTACAGACACAATTTATTTCCTCTTACTTCATGTCCTCATGATATTACATTGAATCAATACTCCATTTATCTATTTTAGATGAAATTAAAACCACATTGCACTTCTTTTTTTCTCTTCAAGTATTGTAGATACAGCAAAACAATACTGCTTTACAAACAAAAGATGGCCATTTAGGCAAAGTTAAAACCAAAACTTTAGTAGGGTTATAAGTAGACAGGCCTGAGTTGCAGAACTCTTAGCGACACCTCCAGGTGTTGGGGGGAAAGAGGAAAAATTTCAGTTTCCATGCCAGAGTCACCTCTAATGTTAAGGAATGATACAGCACATGAATTCTGCAAGAGCTGTGCCCATGGTTTCTAAAAGAGCTTCAAGACTTTCTTAGGGCTGTCTCAGGCAATTTTTTCTGTAATTTCAAAAGGCTGTCTTAGGCAATTTTTTCTGTAATTTCAAAGGTCACTGCATTCAAGGATGGAGTTCAGTACTGGGAAAAACCTTTGATAAAGCAGTTTGTTACTTAGACCTCATCCCTGTCACTTAGGTTGCAGTCACATTTAATTTATGCCTTGTCTTGCAGACTTGTACATCTGTAATAAGTCTTTACCCTCTTAAATGTAGCTGTGAGGTTTCACACTATTTCTTTAGTAAAAAATTCAGCCAATTTTAATTTTGGACTACTCGCAGCAGGAA